GGCAAATTTCAGCAATTACGGCTGAATACGGCATTGCGTCAAAAAAAAAAATCTATGCCGAAATTAATCATAATTCATAATGTTGCTGAAACTATATGTATATCATATAATGTACTACGCCGAAACAGTTACAGCAGCTTAGACAGTTTCAGTAGGTTTCGGCAGTTACGGCATTTCAACATTTTAGACCAATTTTGCAAAACTAGTTTCGGCAGTTTCGCATACGCCATCCCGCCAAAACCTCCTAGTTTCGGCAAGCAACCTTAGCCATAACATGCATATAGAGAGAAGATGCATTTATAGAAAGTGCACTTGTGGAGATTAGTGCTCTGAAACGAATCGAGTTGACTCACGAGTTGGTTGAGTTGAGTTGAGTTGAGTTTGATTTGATAATTTTCCCAAATTGATATGACAAGTTGAGTCACAAGTTAGTCACGAGTCGAGTCAATTTCGATTTGAAATCGAAATCGACTTGACTTGTGTGACCCAAATTGAAATTGATATATAATACGTAAATTTTTTAGATTATCCATAACGATCTTTTTTTATATTGATTATATCAATTTTTTTTCCTTTAAGTATTACAACTTCCCAATTTATATGTTAATCAGTTTAAAATGACCAAAAATTTAAATTCTAGTGGTTCTTCATGAACTACTAGTACTATTTGGTCTCATTTTACGTTGGTTGAGAAATCAACAAAAGCCCAATGTAATTACTGCGAGTGAGTATATTGTTTATAATATATTTTTAATCATTTTTGTATATAAAATTGTGTCAATTTAAATAATTAAGCGCTAAGTATAAGCGAGCTAGCGGAAACACAACAAATCTTCACAAACGAAACATTTCAGTAAAGTTGAACATGAAGCAGAAAGCACTGGTGAAATGGATAAGTTTGTTACGAAAGAAATACCAGTAAGTTTATTTCCTTTCTGCTTTTTATATTAGTCATTTAAATTATACATTTATACAATATTTAACGATAAATAAAAATTATTAATAAAAATTTAGCGTTATACTGCAATAATATTTCGTGAATTTATCACTAAATAGATCGTCTGTGATGATCAACTCTTTACAGTTGTAGAAAATGAACAACTTCAAAAAATATTTTGATTATTATTCCCTAATATTAAAACTATATCAGCAGATACAGCCCGCAATGATATTATAAATGTGTTTAAGGAAGAGAGAAATAAAATTCAAAATATTTTACAGATATTTTTGGTACCTCTATTTTTTATTTAATAATTCTCATAAATATTAACACATTAAAATATTAATAGAATGCTCCAGGTCATCTTGCATTTACACTTGATGCGTGGACTTCTTCAAACTTCCTTCCATTTCTCAGAATTATAGTGCATTGGATTTTCAAAAACTGGGAATTAAAAGAAATTTTGATCGATTTTTGTAAATTATCTGGCCCACATTCTGGAGAAAATCTATTTCAAACTTTTATCCAATGTTGTGATGATATGAGAATTCTTACTAAAGTAAGTATATTGATATAATAATCATTAATTCTTTATTGTTTTTTATTTATTTATAATTTATTTAATACAAATTATTTTTATGGAAAATAATAGATTATAGCATGTACAACGGATAATGCTTCTAATAATGATACTTTAATGAAGTCACTAGAATCGGTTTGTCAAGAGAGGAGTATAGATTTTACCACAAAAAACAATCACGTTTGATGTTTGGCTCATATCATTAACCTTACCGCACAAGCAGCTCTTTCTAGTTTAAAAGTTGGATATATGGAAAATGAAAACGTACTTTTAAATGATACTGATGAAATAACTGAAGTAATTCCAAAGGTTAGGTACTTAGGTTAAATTGTTAATGTAATTATATCATTATAAAATTTAACTGATTTTATATTATATTTATATCTTATATCTATAGCTTCGCAAACTTATTATTAAAATTTGCGCATCCCCCAAAAATGAGAGAAATTGGCACGTCAATGTGAAGCTGTTCACCTTCCAAACAAAGAACTTATATCCGACGTGAAAACAAGGTGGAACTCAACTTACGCGATGATAGAACGAAGTTGTGAATTACGAAAGGTAATTTTTTACTATTAATAATGATTATTAATAAAATTTTTTTATATAAATTGTATTATTTACTATTTAATTATTTTAATTATACTAGGCTTTGGATAACATTATAACAGCAAATAGAGATTTAAGAAAATGTGAGTTAGTAGATTCCGAATGGAAATTATTGGAAAAAATTAAAAATTTATTACATGTAAGATTTATTATTTTAAGAAAAGTTCGAGCGAATTTTTCTTACTATTGTTTAATTGATTACTTTAATAAATGATATACTTCGAACAATAGCAAGAAAAGTTCACGCGAACTTTTCTTGTTGAACCCTGATATGTAACTATATGAGTATGTAAATTTATATGTAATTGTCCTATTAATTTTTAATTTTTATAATTATATTAGATATTTTCTCATGCTACAAATCATATTTCTCATTCGCGATTCCCAACAATCTCAAACTCCGTGCCAGTTTATAATTGACTTATGGATGAGATCAAAGATCTTCAAACCAACAAAAATACAAATGAAGTTATAAAAATAGCGGCAAAAAATGCTATGAAAAAAATTTAAAAATATTACCACTATACATTCGCCTTAGTGTATAATATATCTACAGGTATATTTTTTATATTTCTATGTTAATATTGTATTTTTTCTTTTAATTTTAACTTTTTAATATTTTTTTTTAGTTCTTGATCCCCAATTAAAACTTCAATACTATAAAGATAATGATTGGGAAGAAAAATACATTACTGAAATACGAACAAGTGTTTTTAATATATATAACACACAATATGCATCTTCACCATCAATGACTATTGAATCAGATTGAAATAATGAGCTTAACGATAACCTATTTCATTATATATATAAAAAAAGATGTTCAACAAATGAAAATGAACTAGAATTGTTTCTTGGATATTTGGTTTTGTCTGCAGAAATTAATATACTAGAATGGTGGAAGGTACAGTATGATTAAAATTAAATAATTTTGTATTAATTATATTAATTTTATATTAATTTTTATTTTTTATATATTATTTTTTATAGTTAAACGAACCTCAATACCCTCACTTGGCAGTAATGGCTCGAGATTACCTCACTATTCCTGGTAAATATACCTTTAATAAACCATTAAAACTACAGTTATTGGTTTTAAAAATATTTTATTTAATATTTATTTTATATTTAACATTAGTGACTAGTGTTCCTGTTAAAAGAGCTTTTTCTGGTAGAATCGATCTTGTGACACAAAAAAGATGCAGTCTTTCAGCTGAAACAATCCGGGCGTATATGTGCTTAAAGTCTTGGTGGAAAGCGGAATTATAAATTTATAATAATTTTTTATTTACATAAATACTTTTATATAATATAATCAATATAAATTTGTAATATGTTTTAACTTTTAATGTTTGATATTTACATTATTTTATTAAATAAAGAATAACTAATAATATAAATAATCTATATAAATCATTTACACTTTACAATGAAAAAATATAAAAAATTCGAGTCTGATTCAGTTTAAACTCGACTCAACTCGACTTGACTCAAACTCAGAGTTAGACTCGAATTGATTCAAATTGATTCGATTTAATGCTTTTTATGAGTCGAGTCAAGTCAAATCTAAAATTATTGTAATTTTGACTCGACTCAACTCAACTCAATTTTTCTGAGTCGAGTATGATTCTGTTCAATAATCGACTCGACTCAACTCGACTCGTTCGGAGCACTAATGGAGATGCGACTGTAATAACCAAATATCTTTATACATAACAAACGCTAATATAATTCTATTTGAAAATAATTTAAAGAAAAATATAATAATTTTTCTAATGAACAAACATATTCAAAAAACATATTATATTATACAAAAAGTCAGTATGCAATTAAGGATACTATTAAGTAGAAAGATATAAAGTTTATTGTAATTCTAAGTAAGATTTTTACAAAAAAATGTGATAAGTTGACTAATTCCAGATATAGATTTTACAATGAGCATGCAAAAAATATAGATCAAAGAATCAATTTTATCAGGAAAAGCTGATTTAGTTAGTTGATAATCTCAAAAAGATCCACTTAAGTAATTTTAGGCTAATTAAGAAATTTTAGATATGCCAAGTAATTTAAAATAAAAAGTTGTTACTACTATTATTATAAAAAATCTACCTTAAAAAAATATGCTTAGTTGTCCTAGATATTCTAAAAAATTTTTACTTTTTAAAATAAAAGTAAAATAACAAATTAATTTTATTAAATTGCTAAAATATTTTTTTGAATAGTCTGTCTTAGATAATCTAAATGTTCTAGAAGGTTACAGTATGATTTTCTGAATGCCTTTTTTTCTGAATATATCTTTTCCCAAAGTCATTTACCTAAATGCCAATTTTTTGAACTGAATATTTTCCTGAAATATACAATTTCCTGAATCCTTATTTCCTGAATCCTATTTTCTGAAGTCTAATTTCCTGAATCCTAAATTCCAATATCCTGAATCTAAGGATGGTGCCGCAAATAGGTAATTGCGGAATAATTGCGATTTACGGTATTGCGGAACATTGCGAATTTTGAAGTTGAATTATTCGCAATTCCGTAATTAGCAATTATCAGCAATTCCGCAAGTATTCCGCAATTCCGCAAATATTCCGCAAATATTCCACTATTTATATCATATGATACATGTAGATAGGGAATTTAAATTTGTAGATTTGTCAATTAATCTTTTATCGATCAATTAATTGGGAAAGGATCATCGATCAATTAAATAATTTCACAAAAAATTTTTTTTCGCTAAAATTTAATAAAACCGTGTAGTTGACATTAAAATTTGAGATTTTACTGGTTAATTAATTAATATATCTCCATATAGTTTATATTCGCAAATTTTTTTTATTATTATAACAACATAACGAAGCTATATACGGTAATTTATACAAATGGATTTATGTATTAAATATCATCCCTAATTGAGACAAATTTTTATTGTTAGGAAATTCTCTTATTATCACTACAAATGGTAATTTTAAAATAGATGGTTATGGATTTAATGTGTTAGTTGAAGCAATTCCTATAAAGAATACTCAAGCAATCCTCCGAGTCCTCCTAATCTTCCTAATCCAGAAATTTAAATTTTAACCTTTCTATTAAAAAATTTCAAATTTACCATTTTCTTCTAAGGTTTGTACCAATTGTGTAATAGCCGAACGTTTTTGACCTTGATTTTATTTAATATATGATTTATAATTTATATTATTTTATTTTATACTTAAAAAGACTTACTAATTATGGCTAAATCATTCTATATACAGATGAGTAAGAATTTTTAGAAGAAAAAGGAGTACAATTAAACATAGTTCTAAAAGTTGATAAACCACAATAACCCAATGATATGGCAGAATTATTAGCAAACCACATTCCTAAAATAAAAAATAATAAATAATAATTAATTTTTTTCTAAAAAAGACTTTCAATTCCACTCTCTCTATTTAAAAAAGATCAGTACTTACTTCCGTTAAATCTACTATATTTTCCTTGATTACCATTTTGTATTATACCACACATACCACAACTAAATAAACAAAAATTATTATTCCCAATAAATCGTTGAGGATTATTACAACTAATTTTTGTACCATGGAACAATAACGTTCGTTGGCTATGAGCCGCTGATCGGTTATAATTTTTTAGTAACCACGTCGTAAGAAAATTCTTCATAAATTGGAATTTGAGATCGAGGATCACGAAAATGAGATTTAATCCAAAACCGGAATCGTACCTATAAAAATAATAGTCAGTTAAAAATATAATAAATATATACAGTATTTCATTTAAATTCAAAACATACCATTAAATTCTCCAGCTTCTTTGCTTAATAGTAGTTAAGCTTTTGTCTTAAAAAAAAATAATTTATTAATTATTAAAACTTAACATTTCACGTTACGAAAGTAATAAAACTAGTTTCACAAATAAAAATATTTTATTTTTATTTTTATACCTGGTCTTGAAGATGAAGAGAAACGGGAGCAGCCTGCGGAACTAGTCAGCCTAAAGCCGGGAAAGATTATACAATAGGAGTGACATAAAAATTAAACTATCTAAATGATGGGTCTCGTGATTAAAATAGAATAATTAAAAAAGAAAATAAATTTATATTATCGAAAAAAAAGTTATCCTTATGGGATTCCCATGATAGGGTCGTGTAGTACCCCCAAACGGTCGTACGGGAGAGATGGAGGATGGTGGTTAACGTTAGCGTGGCGAACAGCCTTGTTTTTACTTGAGGAGCAGAACCATCAGATCCACTCTGAATAGGGACGTGCTGGGAGTATCGCTTGCGGTAAGTTTTCTTTTTCCTCATGGAGATCCCAATAGTTTTTCCCATTCTTTGAAATGTTGGCGTCTATTATTCCATATATGAGTATCTATCTCTGATGTGATACAGTTCATGAAAGAGTGAAAAGCCTGATAACGAGCTTTTTCTTTCGCACAAAATTTATAAATATACAAGATAGGTCTTTTGGGGTTAAATGGTGTATTAACAAATAAAGTGGGTGATTTTTGGAAAGAGTAGTGTTCAAATTAGTCGAAAACATAGGTGAGTTATCGATTGTTTCCATTATAGAAGGCAAAGGAGCGTCATTAATATCTTTGATGGTGTCATACAATATGTGTTTGTATTTGATCAATAAATTACGACAAAAATCTCTGTGCACTCTACAGAGGCCTATGTGTTCATTATCGTCGGGAAGTAGTTGACATTGCGTACACGGGAGCGTGTTCGGAGGATATAACTTAGGGTAATTTCGCTGTTGTATGTCCGCCGTTGGGTAGATAAAGTTGCATTTTTTAATATGTGATCCCTGGATTTTCGATAGTTTTTCGCTGGTGATGACGTCAAGAGGATTATAATTAATCCATTCTTTGGTGAAGGTCCAATCTATTTTGTCTTTTAAATGATGTCTTTAATTGGAGAATAGTCGAATCGATCACTGTGTTACGGCAATATTATTCCATTTAAAAATAAAAATTGAATTATCGATCACGTGTGATCGATCATAATTGAATTACCGAACATTGACTCGATTAAGAATCCTACATGTAGATTATCGATATCAGTAAATCAGTAAATCGAAAATTTCCAATTCCCTCTTTTCATAATTACTGCTCCAGAATGTCTAAGTAAATAAGTTTTAGCAGCAAACCTAATAAAATGAATTCCTGGAGGCGCTATTAAACAAAAAATATAAAAAAATAAAAATAAAAATAAAAAAAAAATAAAAAAATGATTAGAAAAATTTGAAAAAAAGATAAAATATTTAAAAATTGATTTAAAAAACCGAAATAAAAAAAATTTGCTACGCAATCAGAAATAAGATAGTGACATTCAGAATTCCAGCTGATCGATTACACAGGCTGTAGATTTTTGATAAACTTCAACATTTCTTTCCCCCTTTCCTCGTTATTTTTTTTTGACTTTCAAAATTTATTTTCTCGTTTCTTACTTATTATTTCTCCAGTTTCTTGCTACCTTAATTATGTCTAATCCAGATAGAGGTCGTCCATTTTCGGATGTGTGGGAATACATGATAAAAGGCCAGCAACAATCTAGAAGACATTATACCGCAACTTGTACATATTGTAACTGTACATGGAAACATGGAAAACCTTGTGTTCTTCGACAACATCTTGCCAATCATTGTAAAAACTGCCCGCAAGATGTTGCGCTATATTTTGCTAGGATTGTTGGTCAAAAAATGGGAGAAGATGAAGATGACGAAAACGATAGTAATTCTGACTCAGAAGTACCTAAAAAAAAGCAAAAATACAGTAATCAAACATCTCTCTCAAATTTTTACAAAACAAAAAAGTTGGAAAAGGGATATTCCGATAGCATTGATCGTTCAATAACAAAAGCGTTTGTTATGTGTAATATTCCATTCAGTACTATTGAGAACCCGTGGTTCGTCGATTTAATGAAAACATTACAACCCGGGTATGATCTTCCTTCAAGACATACTTTAAGTGGCACCTATTTGGAGGCAGAATTGTCTCGCGTGAATATACGAATTGTAAATGAGTTAAATAATGAATCCAATCTTACAATTGGTAAGATTTTTTATATTATTATTGTTTAAATAATTATATTTTTTATTAAATTCAATTTACTAGCGCTGAACGGGTGGACTGACCCACGCGGAAATAGTCTTTGGGCGTTCATGTTGTTGACAGGTTCAAGAAAAGAGTACCTTTGGAGTCTTGAAGATCTTTCAAGTACTAAACATACAGGTCAACACATAGCGAACGTCATCGATGAGGTTATTAAAAAAGTTGGAAATGAAAATTTTGTCGCTATAGTTTCTGATCATGGGTCTAACGTTGCTTCAGCCCGTCGAATCATCACTGAAAAATATCCAAATATCATCAATGTTCGGTGCATCGCGCATTGCATTAACCTCATTAGTTCTGATATCATAAAAATACCACAGGTTAAAGACCTTGTTAGACGCGCTAACATTATTACAAAATTTTTCAAATATTCAACTCTTGCCGCATTCTGGTTAGAAGAAGCCATTAAAACAAAAAATATTCAAGGCGGCGGCCTAAAGACTTACGTGGAAACCAGATGGACCACGGTATTTGAATGTACAAGTTCCATATGGCGATTGAAAGATGCTCTACAACATGTATTTTTTTTAAGATAATTATTGTTTCGAATAAATTATTTTAACCATTAACAATACAATTTTTTAAATTTTAATTAGGTTTTAGATAATCACGAAATTTCAAGTGATAACGTCAAGTCTATCTTAAAAAAACGAGGTTTTTTTGACGATATGCGTGTATTATCTGATATTTTAAAACCAATAAAAGAATCGATTCTAGTGTTGGAGGGTACAAAGACAAATTTAGCAGATTGTTATCTGCAACTTCTTAAAATAGCTGCTAACGTTAAATCAATGCCTATTGATGATTATAAGACTTTGAAAAACTCTTGCATTAGAATTTTTAATAGAAGGTAAGTTATAATTTAATTATAAAAAATTGAAACAAATAATATATTTATTATATTTTCAATAGATTTGCAGAATACGATGAAGATATTTATCTTCTGGCATTTTTTCTTCACCCTTACTATAAAGGTAATTAATAATTAATAATTAATTTAAATTTAAAGGAAGATGGTTTGTAATCCATATAATAAAAAATTTATTTAACATTTATTTATTGCTTGTTTATTAAGGATTAGGTGTTCGTAATCAACATTTTGATCGTATTCAAAAAGCCGCACTTAGGCTTTGGAAAGCTCTTGGGCATAAAAAAGCATTTGGTTTAGAATTACATTCTCAGATTCATTCATATTTTGATAATGCTAAACCCTATGATGCATAATATTTGCCTGAACACGATGTGCCTTATTTATGGTGGAATTCAATTATTGATAGAAAATTCTCTTCTTTATCACGTCTTAGCAAAGTTATTTTTTCAATTACGCCTCATTCCGCTAGTTGCGAGCGTCTTTTTTCATCTCTTGGTTGGATGTTTGGAAAGAAAAGAACGAATTTAAGTGCCCAAACAATTGAATCAATGGCGAAAATCTATCGTTATAACCTTAGTACAAAAGGTCAAAAATCTTTAAATCATGCTGATTTAATATCAAATAATGACGTTCAACAAATGTTAAATAATGTGTTTGAAGAAGGAGATTTGTTTAATGAAAGTGATGATGATGAGGAATTAATTCCAAATGAAGGTAATGAAGTGGAAACAAGTGACGTTGATGAAATATTAGATATCGAAAATGTAGTAGATTTGGGCCCATGGGTACTTATTGATAATACAACACTCCCTATTGTTACGCGTCGTAGATGTAATAGTGATGATGAAGATGACGAGGATTGGAATCCTGATGAAATTTAATTTTTTCTTATTTTGTTTGTTATAATAATCATAATAATTCGCATAATTTCATATATAACAATATTATATAGTTTTATTAATAAAATAAATAACTTTAGTTGAGAAATTGTATTGCGCGTTTAAAACTAGTGATTTGATCATTTGTGATCACGTGACACTTACATAACATTTATTAAGATTCGATAATTAGAGATCATCATATACCTTAGCTCACTCTAACAACGCAGAAAACGACTTGACAGATTCTTTAGCTAACGCAGGATCTGAAATCAGAGATCCTATTATTATTAATCACACATTTTTCGACAAACAAGTCTAGGATACATTAATTGGAATAATATCACGGTGGTAGACCGCAACATTAGAAGATGGAGCAATAACGTGTTAGATTCACTACTATTTAATTCGTTAATTAATAATTCTTCATTATCCCTTATTCACGATCTCATCAAATAAGGTGACATAGATTGGACTTTCACTAAAGAATGGCTGAATCATAACCCTTACGATACGATTACAAGCATTAAATTATCGAAATTACAAAGTTCACGCATAAAAAAAAGCAATTTCTTATACCCTACCGCTAATATTCAATTTTCCTAGACACCTTTAGGACA